GGGATTTAGAGTTTGGAGATTTTTTTTGGTCTTTTTTTATTTTTGAGATGGAGTTTCACTCTTGTCACCCAGGCTGGAGTGCAGTGGCAACATCTCTGCTTACTGTAACCTCCGCCTCCCGAGTAGCTGAGGGTTCAAGTGCTTCTCCTGCCTCAGCCTCCCAAGTAGCTGGGATCATAGGCACATACCACCATGCCCAGCTAATTTTTGCTTTTTTGAGGTGGAGTCTTGCTCTGTTGCCCAGGCTGGAGTGCGATGGCATGATCTCGGCTCACTGCAACCTCTACCTCCGGGGTTCAAGCGATTCTCCTGCCTCAGCCTCCTGAATAGCTGGAACTACAGGCACCCACCACCACACCTGGCTAGTTATATTTTTAGTAGAGACGAGGTTTCACCATACTGGCCAGGCTGGTCTTGAACTCCTGACCTTGTGATCTTCCCACCTTGGCCTCTCAAGGATTATAGGCATGAGCCACCTTGCCCAGCCTAATTTTGGTATTTTTAGTAGAGACAAGGTTTCACCATATTGGTCAGGTCAGTGTTGAACTCCTGACCTCAGGTGATCTGCCCTTCTCAGCCTCCCAATGTGTTGGGATTACAGGCGTGAGCCACCACGCCCGGTCTAGAGTTTGGAGATTTTTAGGGAACTTGCTGAGGAAGGTTCAAGGCTTTTGGGGGTGTTGGGAAGTCAGCGGGACTCCCTTGGGCCTAGGAATTCAGTGCCTGCCAGGCCTGAGAATCTCTAGGTCTGGAAGTCAGGGTCTAGGGCCATGGGTTGGGGTACCTGCATTAAGGCCTGAGGATTAAATGGTTCAAGTTCTGAGGCTGAGGTCTCCAAGTCTGGGGTCCCGGGGCCTAGGAGTCCTGGGTTTGGTGGTCCTCAGGTCTGGGGTCCCTGGATGTGGGATGCTGAGTGTGGGTTCTGAACCTGGGGTCCCAGGTTGAGGGGTTCTCTGGGTCTGAGGGTCCAGCTCAGGGTTTTGGGAGTCTCAGATTTGGGGGTCACTGTGTCTGGGATACAGGTCGTGCATCCCAGATCGAGGGGTTCCCCAAGTCAGAGGTCTCCAGGTTCCAAAGCATTGGGTCTGGGGTCCTCAGCTCTCTGCAGGTGTGGGCTCCCAGGTCAGGCTGCATTGGGGGTCCTAGGTCTCATACTGGATTCTGGGGTGCCACCTCTGGGGGCCCCATCCCACGACTGACTCACCGGTCATGGCCCCGGCCGGCCAGCAGGGCATGGGCATAGGCATCCAACGACGCCGCCGGGTCCTCCCTGGTGAGCCCCGCGGGCTCAGCGTCCAGTGACACAAAGAAAGCAGCCCCTTCCACCACCTCCAGGGCCTCTGCCGCCTGGGTCTCCAGGGACGTCCGCACCTGGGCCCACGTGTCCCTGGAGGGCCCGAGATGTGTCTGAGTCCACCCTACCCAGCCACCCAGCCCCACCCCTGCCCTTCCACAGCCGCAGGACACTGGCGACCCCTGAGAGCCCCTAAACCCTGACCCCTGATCCCTGACCCCTACCTGGGAGCAGCGGTCAGAGCGGCCAGATGTTCCTCGTAGGGGCAGGCCGGTGACGGATCATCCAGGATTCGCTGAAACTGCTGCTCCAGGGCCCTCGGGGAAAGCAGGCTGTTTCGGGAGTGGGTCCCCACGCGGAAGAATCGGCCTCGGTGGAAGACAGCCACATGTTGGCTGTCGTGGAGGTGGTGGATGTAGTCTAGGGTGGTGTTGGCAGAAGCGTAGGGGCAGGAAGGCCAGCCACAGAAGTATAATGACCTTTTTTTTTTTTTCTTGAGACAGGGTCTCGCTCTGTTGCCCAGGCTAGAGTACAGTGGTGCAATCTCGGCTCACTGCAACCTCCGCCTCCCGGGTTCAAGCGATTCTCCTTTCTCAGCCTCATGAGTAGCTGGGATTACAGGTACATGCCACCACACCTGTCTACTTTTTGTATTTTTAGTAGAGACGGGGTTTCAGCATGTTGGCCAAGCTGGTGTCAAACTCCTAACCTCATGATGGCCTGCCTCAGCCTCCCAAAGTGCTGGGATTACAGGCATGAGCCACCAAATAACAATCATTCATTACATACTTCTCAGGTGCTGTCAACTGTTCAAAGCAACCTAGTAATCGTCAGCACCCTAGAACGTTTATTTACTTATCTTTTGGAGACAGAGTCTCACTCTGTCATCCAGGCTGGAGTGCAGTGGCACGCTCTCGGCTCACTGCAGCCGAACCCTCCCGGGCTCAGGTGACCCTTCCACTTCAGGCTCCTGAGTAGCTGGACCCTCAGGCACATACCACCATGCCTGACTAATTCTTAA